CCTTCCACAAAAGCACAAAGGCAGGAGAGAGGTCCCAAGCAAGGGTCCTTTTACAATGCCCAGTTGTCCATCTGTGATGTACTCTGAGATCAGTGAGGTTAGATCTTCCCCAGAATATAAAGGGAGTACCTAAAAATAATCTTTTTACTTTGTGAAATGTGGTAAGTGGAAGTATTCCTTTGGGTCGGCTCTTGCATAGTAAACATTTGGGAACCATTAAAGCTCCATGTAACGTGAGTGAGTTCATCTGGACTCCTAACTTGGTCTGATTTGCAGGGTTCACATTGTAGCTTTGACAGAGAGCTTTTGGCATTTGGTTGTCTGATGTTGAATATTACCCCAGAATGATGAATTTTAATAATCCTAGTTTGTAATCCTGTAAGCCTATGTAATTAAATTCCCCCATCCAGTTTAGAGAACACAGATGCCCCGTGGCACAGTGACAATGACCAGAGTGAGCTATTCCTCCCCATCCCTCACTGATGCTTTGAAAGATGTAAGCGAGCAGCTGGTGAGCCCTACCTCCTCTCAGATCCCCAGACTGAAAAGGGGAGTGGGATGTTCTTCTGTGTCGTGGGTCCTGCCCCTGTGATAGAGTTGCGAAAGCTCTCCAGACACAGGTGTCATGAGTAAAGCAGAACTGTGCATAGGTTTTCAGGGCCCCTGCCCATCAGTGCAGAATGAGGGGAGATTCCATCCAGTCCTAATTGCAGTTTAAAATCCTCTTCCTCCCCTTCTCCCACCCCAACCCAATTTTACCCCGGTGTCTTCTCCACCCAACCTCAGTAACTCCAACTTGCCATCCAGGACAGATATCTCTTGCAGACTGACCATGTGAAGTCTGCAGGAATGAGGTCTGCCACACTTCTCCACAGCACTTGGGGGTCTAGAGCAGGAAACCCTGCCCTCCGCCAGGGTTGCCCTCCTGCCAGTCTCTCCAGGGCCAGCTTGAGGGTATGATGTAAGAGCACGAGTGGGCAAGGGATATGTCGGAAGCTTGGCCTGGGCCCTGTTGAGGGGTCCTGTGGTCAGTTTCATGCTCATCTGTCGCCTCTTAGACCTCTTTGCACTGTGCTTAGGGTTCTCCTTCTCTCTTCACTCCCCCAAGCTGTGCCTCTGTGCTCTTAGGAAATGCCAGGGGGAATTATACAACTTGAAGTAGTTTGCCATGCTGCTGGGACACTCGTCTGTTACTGATTTCTTCTCTTTTTTTTTTATTAAGAGTATTTCCATTTCCCTTGCTCAGGAACCTCTTGAGTGTCTGTGCACAGTTACCAGAATGCCGAGTCATCAGCATCCTACCTGTTGAGGAATGTAAGGCTCTGGGACACAAAAGCATTGATCTTGCACAACACTCAGATGAGCTGGGACTTTCTTTGTCATGAAATGAGGATTCCTTTGTCATTTAAAAATTGCTTTTATATACCCGACCTTTGTAAGACAGCTGTATCTTCTGGTGTTGGGAATCCTTTGGGATTTTATGAATAAAGCTTCAATAGCATTGTTTTTACTTTAAAAAAGACATGTTTTTCCTCCCAGCACAACAGTGATGTCGCTTGTGTTTGACATGTGGGTCCTTGTGAGTGACAGCAGGGTGACATGCTTGTGCTGGGTGCCAGTGAAGATGAGAGCTTTGGGGAGATCAGGGATGAAGCTGTTTCCTCTGTTTCCAACAGGGAGTAGAAGTGATTCAGGCAGAAGTTGTTTAGTAGATACAATAGGGTTGTGGTTCCCTATCAGCCTCCCTGACCCTATTTTGAATTATGACATAAGGGATGAGGATGTAGAACAGCAGATGTGGGGTATGTGAAGCACATGTCCCACCAGGCAAGGTGGAGGATTATCAAGGAGCAATGGTCATTCCTCAGGGTAAATGAAACCACAAACGCCTGCCCACACTCTCTTTTCATTCCAAACTGAGTTGAAGATAAAACCCACCAGATCAAGGTGTGATTTCCAGACTCTGCTCACACCAAAGAAGCTGCACTCCTGCAGGACTGCCTGCCCCCCTTTTCCACAACCAGCAGCCCTGAGGAAATACCACCGACTTACTTAGTCAGTCACCGCCTCAGAACAGCCACAGTGGGCCTAGGCAAGCCAGACCTCATAGGTTTGTTTTCAAGGGATCAGGACCAGACGTGAAATGGGTATTTCTCTGCCCAGTGTTACTGCTGTTTACAGTCACCTTGGTGCTTCACTCTGTTCTCCATGGCACCATCACTGTCCCTCTTGGTCCCTGGTCACTCTGGTGTCACCCAGCGGATAAGTAGGAGACCTGACTCCAGGACCCCCCGTTTCACATGCTCTTATTAAACAGACAGACAGACAGACAGAAGGTCTTGATGCTCGCTGCGGCCTCTTCCTCAAGTTATGGGCCAAGGCCTGAGGCTTCTTGGTGCCCCTGGATTCTCACTGCACACTATTTAACACTCCAGTGCATTTCTGGAGTGTTCTTCTACCCACCCCTCACTTCAAGAAGTCAACTTCCCTAAAATGACTTAGGTTGCAGGGGGAAAGCCTTCTGATTCCAGGGTGATTGAGAGCCCTGAAACCTTTTTAAAACAAAATTTAGATTCTAAATAAAAACTCCTTCAGGGATTCTTAGGTGCTGATTTGTTCATTCTGTACATTTTTATTGAGTGCCTACTCTGGGCCAGGCACTGTGCTAGGTACCGGATGTACAACAATGACCAGAAAAGACAAGGTCTTTGCCCTCATAGAATTTATCATTGAACTGAGTAGACATTACAAATAAATACAAACATGTAATTAAGTAAAACTTGTGAAAAGTGCTTTAAAGAGATGAACAGGGGACAGTGATAGAGGAAAATAGGGGTAATCTTCTTAGGGTGGCCAGACCAGGTCTTCAGAGAAGGCGGTGTTTCAGCTGAGACCTAATGACTGAGAAGTGAGAGCAGGGGTGGGAATGGTGCTAAAATGGGGGGAGGGGGAGCAGGGGAAATGGCATCTGCTGAGGTGGGTATGCATACATGGTTGAGGATCCCCAAGGTGGCCAGTAAGCTAGAGTAGAACAAGCAGGCGAGAAGAGGGAGCCCCAAGATGAGATCAGACAGGAAAGCAGGGCTCAAGTCATAGGGGGTTTAGGGGTCACAGCAAGGAGTATGGATTTTATTGAGATTCAACAGGAAGCTGATTTGTGTTTTTAAAATGTGCTTTTGACAGCTGAGGTGAGAACAGATTATGAGATTATAACTGGGGAGACCAGACTGTGGTCCAGGCGAGGGTGATGGTAACTGGGACTTGAGTGGAGACAGAGGTAGGGGCAGATGAGTTTATTATGTTGGGGAAGTGGAGACTTGATGTGGGGCTGACAGATTGGCAGGAGTCACGGGAGACTCCCAGGTTTCTGGTTTAAGTAACAGCATGTATGTGAATGACACTTACTGAGAAGGAGAAAACTGGAGGTGGAACCCTTAATTCTATAATCTGATCAAGGCAGTGATTATTCTGGCTCTAATGAGAAAATGATTCAACCTATGGTCATTTTAGTCTTTCCACTACTACATGGTTTGCCAGACAACAATAACAGCCTGGCAGCTAAACGCATCGACAGACCTTCAGAAGTCACTCCAAATAGATGCTAATCATTTTGATGGATGGCAGCATTATCTTAAGAGACAGAATTAAATTCCCAAGGTTCTTCCCTGAAAGAACCAAGGAGCAGAATCTCTGAGGAATCAGACTCTTCATTGGAGCCCCTGAACTGACTCTGTGTGAGGAGAGGCTGACAGCCTCCCATTTCTCTTTTTTGGGGAAGAAATGAAGAGTGGCGACAGTTGGGAAGCAGAGGGGTGGGAGGGGCTTTGCGGTCTCTCATTCAGGGTTATTCTGTGGTGGAGATAATGCTAGGGTCACCTTAAGAACCTCTCTTCTCTTCTGTTGATCCTGGGAGGGTAGTTCACACAGTCCATTTTGAAACCAAGTGATGTGGTCTTAATTGAACTTTCCCAAGAAGTGGTTCTTGAAAATGGAAAAAGAAGCCGGCTCTGAACATTTAAGAGGCCTTTGACAGAAGGCCTGGAGGGTTATTCCAGCCTCCGGCCTTTGAGCCTAGAAAGAGCCCTGCCCTAGACCCACCCTTTAGGGGGCCTCTCTTTGGCCCTCCTCAGCTCCACACCTCTCTGTGGGGTGAGTAGTTAACAGAGCCAAAGGGATGTACCACCCAGAGCTGTGTTCTTCCTTCTAGACCACGTTTCAGGTATGGAATTCCCCACCCAAACAGCTCTGGGAGACTGGGCCAGAAAGCCCTAGGGCAGAGCTGGTTCTCCCTCTACAGCCCATTTTCCAGCACAAAACTCTTAAGGAGCCTCATCTGGCCTGCTAGGTTTTTCAGAAGTTATATTTGTCAAAGACAAGGATAGAACGTATTTTAACAGTTTATTGACGTGATTTAAATGTCTATCCACATGGTTTATGGGCCTCCGCTTGTCCCCGGCCCTGCCAGTGTTGGGGCCTGCGTCATCCCCTCTGAAATGCCTCACCGTGGTGAGGGCTGCTTACCTGTGCTGCAACAGGTGTTTTTTAGGGCAAACCTAAGGCCTCAGCCTTCCTAAAAGAAGGTTTGTGAATGGAGTTTATATAAAAGAACTCACCCCAATAGAGGGTCTCATGGTCTGGGGTAGCAACCCACACTCATAGAAGGGTCCTCATCTCCTGCACGTACCCCAGAACCGAGAAAGGCAGCGGCGCACCCAGCTTCCCGCTGCTAGAGGTCGTGGGGAGCAGGAACCTGAGCTGAGTGGGGCCACGAGGCCTTAGGCATTTGCTCCTCATAAATGGAGCAGCCAGGCATTTTCCTGGGCTCTGACGGGAGGGGAGAGGGCCCAGTCTGCCACCCGGTGTTGCCATCACCTAAACATACTGCGAGACCTCGGTAAACGACACCCCTTTCTCTCTCTCCCTCTTTCTGTTCCCCTCTCCTTCCTCCCCACCCCTCCCTCCTTGCCTTTCCTCCCTCTCGGCTCTCTCACCCTCTGCAGTAAACCGGTCCCCTTCCCGCTGCAGCGGGTTGAACCGCTCTGAGTCTCCGAGCCGTGAGCGCAGCGACTTTGGGGGAAGCAACACCCAGCTGTGCAGTAGCAGCAACAACCTCTACACACCCGACTACTCAGTCCACATCCTCAGCGACGTGCAGTTTGTGAAGGTAGCTCCGCAGGGAGGGCTGTCCCCTCACTCCCAGCCAGCAGCATCCTGTTCCCCCGTTCCAAGATAATGCTGCGTGGCAATTGCTCCCTGGCTTTCTAAAGGCCCTGGTTTCGGTTAGCTTTATTCTGTTCATTATTTGTCACCGTTATTGTCCCTTTGTTCGTTTGAACCATGATTGTTCATTAAGATCTCCTGATCCCCATTTTTCATTGTGGAGAAACTGAGGCACGAAGCGATAGGGAATTAGCTTGCCCGAGACAAGCTGCCGGCAGAACTGTTTCCTTTGGATGCCCCGCCATTGGCACCAGGTTGATTTTATTTATTCAAGATAACTCTGCAGGTGATTAATAAACCAAGGGTATAGAAGAAACCCTGCTATGATTTTACATGTGGATAAGATTTTACGTATTAATATTTAAAGTCTAAAACACAATTCAGCCTGTAAATATTATTATACCCCCTTGCTGTCACTGAGCTATTTGAAGAGAGCCGCTTTGCAAGTGCAGTAGAGAGAGGCAGCAATGCTTATCGCCTTGTAATTAAGGAGGAGAGCTGTTTCTTCATACCCCTCATTGAGATTGGTTTTGGACAGAAACATTCTAAGATTCCCTCCTTTCTCTTGCTTCGATAGGTTTTGTTTGTTTTGTTTGCTAGCATTCCACAAACCATTACACACTTGGCCTGAGATCAGAAGGGAACCCATTTACCCGAGTCCAACTAAACACCCAACGCACTCACTTGGTAACAGTCATCCCAGTTGCAGGCCGGGTGAGAGGTGTATGGAAATCACAAAGGTGGGAGGAGGTCCTTTCCTTCTGTTCAGAACACTGACCCTGATTATTTGAGGGTAGTGTGTGCTGGCTGGCTTTCTATGTTCCAGAACTCTGCAAACACCCTGAACTAAAACTCAAGAGCCTTGAGAAAAGTAACCGTGGAGAAGAGGGGTCACTCCTGGGGGGGGCTGTTGGTGGGGTGCTGTGTGCCACGCACTTTAAGTCCTTGAACGAATTTCCCACTGAGTCCTACAACCACCTTAACAGGTAGGTACTGTGTCATCCCCACTTTATAGACGACGTGGGAGCTTGAGGAGTATAAGGTCTCGTGACTGGGACGTGGCACAGCCAAACTTCAGATTGAGTCTCTCTGTCTCCAGAGTCCAAGCCTTCGAGTCCTTGGGCTTTGGGGAGAGTTTAGAGAAATCAGAGCTGACAGAGCCCGGGAGAAGTGCTTTAGGCACTAACCCAACAACATGCACGGTGTGTATGACTGTGGACACTTACTAGTCTATCGTGACAGTGAGAATGAACCTCAGAAAACCGCAGCCCACGATTCTCCTCCCTCTTGCTTCCAGCCCTGAAGCCCTCTCATTGCAGACCTTCCTCAGAAGTGGAGGTAGGAAAAAATGGGAGAAGAGAAATGCTGCTATAACTAACTCTTAGTGGTTTGTAGTACTGGGCATATGGTTTGTGGGAAAAGAAACTGAATGTCGCTATATGAGTCAGTGGTTCAACAGGTATTTACTGACTACCTGCTCGTGATTGGCACTGTATAGGTATAAGCGAGATACCATGGTGAACAAGACAGCAAGCTCCTACCTTTCTAGAGCTTCCATGCTCCTAGGGGGAGAAAGATGATAAACAAGTAACTACATAAATAACCTAGGTAATCTAGGGGAGTGATGAAGGCTATGAAGGAAATAAACTGAATCATGGGATAAACAGTGATTGGGCAGAGTTGGCAAGGAAGCTGCTTTAGAAATGGTTGTCAGAGCAGCCTGAGAGAGCAGGTCTCTTTTGTTGAGACCTGGAAGGGGATGTGGAGAGAATGTTCAAGATAGAAACAACAGAGGCAGGAAAGAGCTTGGTGGTCCAAGGAGGATCTTTGTTCTGGCGCGTAATGTGCAAAGATGAGGCCGATGTGAGTTGGGGATGGAGCGCTGGCAGCAATGTTGCCTGGCATCTTTAGGCCAGAGTATGGTGTCTGGATTCTGTTTTAAGTGCATTGGGAATTTTTGTTAAGCTTGTTTCTCGGGTCTTTCCATTTGTCTTAGCCCATTTGGGCTGCTACCACAATTACCATCGACTGGGTGGCTTAAACCACAAACATTTATTTCTCGCAGTTCTGGAGGTTGGATCTCCAAGTTCAAGGTGCTGGCAGATCCAGGCGGTGTCTCGTCTAGTGAGAGCCCACTTCTTGGTTTGAAAATGGTTGTCTTCTCTTTGTATCCTCATATGGCGGGGAGGAGAGAGAGAAGAAGAAGGCTCTCTTCTTTTTTTTTTTTTTTTTTTTGCGGTGTGCGGGCCTCCCCCCGCTGTGGCCCCTCCCGTCACAGAGCACAGGCTCCGGACGCGCAGGCTCAGCGGCCATGGCCCACGGGCCCAGCCGCCCCGCGGCACGCGGGATCCTCCCGGACCGGGGCACGATCCCCTGCATCGGCAGGCGGACTCCCAACCACTGCGCCACCAGGGAAGCCCGAAGTCTCTCTTCTTATAAGGACACTAATCCCATTCATGAAGTCTCCCCCTCCTCATGACCTAATTACCCCCACCTCCTAATGCCATCACCTTGGGGGTTAGGGTTTCAGCATATGAATTTTGGAGGGGACACAAACATTCAGTCCATAACACCATTTATATCTTAAGTTGAGAAAATCCATATGAGGCTTTGGGGAGAAAAGTGAATGAGATTTTGAGGAGTGGTGTTTAATGAGCAACTGTGATGAGCCCAGAGTTTTTTGAAACACCTCTGGGCATCGATTGGGGAGCGCTTTCAGGAGATGGATCTGGCAACTCCTCCAAGAGGAATGTGTTAGGATGAATACCTGACACTAAGACTGTAAGGATTTTCCTAAAACTTACAGTTGATCTCATATATCCACCCCTAAAACATAAGGAAAGGGAACATTCTATAAATAACAAGGAGCATAAAAGGGAAGTCTCTTTCCTGACATGAGCCAGTGAGGTGTTGAGAACTCCAAATCTGAGGTCAATTCTCAGGTGCAGGTGTCATCCTTTTTCTCAGGCCAGAGGACCTTGCTGTGACTAGGGCAGCTGAGCATCATAGCACATGGTCCGTTTTTCTACCTAGATATTTTGAAATTGAGAAGACTACATGTCAAAAGTGGAAGTTGAGGGGAGGACAGAAACAGTTAAAGCATAATTCAGAAACCTCTTTCAACTTGTGGCTCTAGTCTCTTAAAAACTTCAGTTGCAATGGCTTGTTCTACAGAAGGGGACATTGTGAGTTCAAGCTCTTGTTTAACACAAGGGTTTGATTTTCTCTTTTGTTTTTCTTTTTAAATGTTGAGCCTTCTTTTAATTTATTTATTTTTATTTTTGACTGTGTTGGGTCTTCGTTTCTGTGCAAGGGCTTTCTCTAGTTGTGGCAAGCGGGGGCCACTCTTCATTGTGGTGTGCGGGCCTCTCACTGTCGTGGCCTCTCTTGTTGCGGAGCACAGGCTCCAGACGCACAGGCTCAGTAGTTGTGGCTCACGGGCCTAGTTGCTCCGCGGCATGTGGGATCTTCCCAGACCAGGGCTCGAACCCGTGTCCCCTGCATTAGCAGGCAGATTCTCAACCACTGCGCCACCAGGGAAGCCCTTTTTTGTTTTTTAATGTAAGTTATCAATAAGATGATACAGTAAACTGACACTGAGATTCTTTTCCTCCTGACTGAATGGACTTTTAGGGCCATGTTCAGGCTGCTCTTTTACTCGCCTCCTCAAACCCGCCTTTTTTTAACATTTAGAGAGTTTTTGCGGAAGCTCAAGGGGTGATTTCACTGGCCAAAGCCCCTGTGACTGTCTGCAAGGGCTTTTCCTGTCCAACAGACTAAGTTCTAGAACTGTTCATTAAGTCCAGTAGTAATTTGAGTTCAAGATAAAATTAGAAAGAAAGGTGTATCCAGTGAGTATCTGGGAAAGGTATTAAAGCCATGACTAATAGTAGTTAATAAGTTATGAAGGTACCAAAGAATCCTTATGAATTTTTTAAATGTATTCTGTAAGTATCATTTTTAAATTAAGAATATTTGGCAGGGCTTCCCTGGTGGCGCAGTGGTTGAGCGCCCGCCTGCTGATGCAGGGGACGAGGGTTCGTGCCCCGGTCCGGGAGGATCCCACATGCCGCGGAGCGGCTGGGCCCGTGAGCCATGGCCGCTGGGCCTGCGCGTCCGGAGCCTGTGCTCCGCAGCGGGAGAGGCCACAACAGTGAGAGGACCGCGTACCGCAAAAAATAAATTAAAAAAAAAAAAAAATATTTGGCAGATGTCGTATAGACAGAATTGTGTAACCATGGCCAAGATGCCCCATCACCATCTGGTGGCAGAATCTCTAAATTGCAGAATCGTGTTTTGAGGGATGAAGAAACCACCTGAAAGTTGAAAATGTAAACGGAACATCATAAAATGATTGGAAACATCACACTGGCTGAAAGGTTAACTTCTGGACACATTGACTGCTAAGTCAAAATGTCCCAAAGGGTACTCTTAACTCCTATTAGTTTCAAGATAAACAGGTCTCCATTTCCTATGTAATTTAGAGGATGCTTGAGTTCTTAACTGGCCAGAGTATAAGGCAACTTTAACTCAAGCTGTTGTTAAGAAATGGTTGTAGCTACAGCAATGAAAAAAGAATAAGAACATATTGTCTTTGGAACAGTGGTTAGATTCCCTCAATGCCAATCAGTAAGTATTTGTTGAGCACTAAGGCTGGTTCTAGGCAACATGACCAATACTCAAGAAATACAGTTGGGGAGAAGAAACGTAAGTCAAATGACAGTAACCAATGCAGGGTAGTATCTAATTGATTACAAAATCGTATGGCACTTTATTTTAAGCACTAATTTGTCTAGAGAATATACTGGACCTTTAAGAATTAGGAAAGAATAAGAGGAGAGTGAAGGCAATGCCAAGAGCGAGGAGTGGGGAACACTGATAAATAGGGGTATGGAAGGCAAGTGAACATGGCGCATTCAAGGAATATGAAAGAGGAGCTGAGCTGGACCAGTGGTTCTGACTGGCAAGCAGTGGGACACTATGGCCATGCAAGCCTGTATTATCAAAACTGGGCAGAGCCGTTTAGTTGATCTGCTGGACCATCACTGTCTGATACAGTAGCCAGTTGCCACATGTGACTGCTGAGCGCATGAAATGTGGCTCATCCAAATTGATGTTTGGTAAAATGTAAGCTAATGGTTTGGCCAAAAAGTTCATTCGTTTAGTGAATACGTTGTTCAGTAAAGTTCTCCGTGAAAATGAAAAGTGTGTCTTTTAGTCTCACTTAAAACCAAACAAACTTTTTGGCCAACCCAATACATATCGAATTCCAAAGACTTGGTACAAAGATGAACGTAAGATTCCTTATTAATTATTTTATATTGCTGACATGTTGAAGTGATTTTGGATACATTGGGTCAAATGAAATATATGTATTATTAAAATTAATTTCACATGTTTGTTTTTACCTTTTAAAAATGTGACAACTAGAGAATTTTAATCTACCTATGTGACTCACATTATTTTTCTCTTGGACAGTACTGTAGTAGTAGAAAAGGCTTCATAGGTGAACAAGGGGAGGGAACTGACAAAAAGTGATGCTTGAATCTAGAAGTGCAGCTGGGGAGATTCCCTGAATACATTTCCAGAGAGGTCCCTTCTCAAATTTCTTTCAAGGTGACACATTGACATGGTATTTGTGATATTTTTTTTAGCTTAAAAAGAGGAAGCAATGTCAAAGCAAGGCTGTGAGATGCCTAGAGCAGGTAACCAATGGGCAGTGCCTTTGTCTTGAACAGGCAGTGTGTTTCACACCACATTTTCTAGGCGAAGGGTCTTCTTTAACTAAACTGGAAGCCAAATCTAAACTAACTAGTTAAAAGAACCCAAACAATGATATCAAGTGCTTTGTTGGGCTTATGAAGTGTCATTTAGGAAATCTTCCTGTTCAAGCCAGGAGAACCTGCAAGACTCCAAAGAAAGCTTCACCTTTAGAAACCCATGGGCACATTAGAAAATTGAGTTTTGATGATAGCCTTGGCTCAGACCATGTGCCAGCTTCTCTTCAGTCGTCTGATGCCTATGGACCCCAAAAAAACAGCAGTTTTGGGGGGACCTCCCCTAAAGTTTTGTGAAAGGCAGCCTCCGTGGGCATGTGAAAGGCAGCCTAATGCAGCCAGTTGTGTTTGCAGTGTACAGAGCTGAGCTCAGATGATTTCCCCTGGAGAGCAAGAGTAAAGGCCCTTTAAAGTGAAATGCCCAGATTGCAAGGGGTGCCATTATCAGACCCTGGAGTTTCCCCTCTGAGAACTTGGAGTTCCACATTCCCACTTCCATCTTCCATCTCCCTGGCCCCAAAGAATGAATAGCACTTTCCCAGGCAGAACACACATCACATGGCTGGGACTCTGAAGGCTTGCTAACTGTCAAACCTTAGGCAAGTCCCCCATCTTTCTGGACCTCATTTTCTTATTTGTAAAATGGGCATCACGAGACCTCGCATGCCTACCCCATGCAGTCATTGTGACCAAAGGAGACAACACATTCCTAAGTGCTCTGTGAGCCATAATGCACTGTATGGCTGGAAGTTTCCATCCTCATATCCCAACATCTGTCTGCAAAAGCAAGCTCTCTTGGGTAACATTAGCACTAGAGCTTTCACCAGCGTCTGAAAATCTAATCACCAGTTCCATCTCTTTAGGATATTTGTAGAACTTTCAGTAATATGTAGGGTTTCCCAAAAGAAATAACCCAACGATGTTTTAAATAAAAAATTGAAAAGAAATTGCAAAGCAATTTTGTAAAAACGCTATCAGGAATGAGTTTGTTACTGCAAGTAAATAAATTTATTTGTGAGCTTCCTGGTCATAAAAGGAAAAAGGAGAAACCTAGTGGATATTTGAGTTCTCATCCAATATAAGAAAGTATATAATTCATCTAGAGAAAGGAGCTTATTCCTGGCACTAATTTCATGAAGGATTTATCAGATAGATTCCTATATGACTATGGAAGGCATCAGAAAAAAATAATAGTAATAAATTGGCTTCATCGGTGGTTTTGCCAGTTTATGTTCTTCATTTGGAGGTTTCTTATTTCAGCCCTTGACACAAGCTGGGGGTGTTGCTCTTGCCGAGTCCCCACTGACTGCCCTTTAGGAAGAGGGTCCTTGGCAACAGTATAAGCCTGTGTTTTAAACCTCTCAGTGGGCAACCACCCTGCTAACTGAAGATGCCCTCCATCCTCTCCTGGGTCTCAGGAGAAGGCTTGGCTCCGCCAGGTGCTAGAGTCCAGAGCCGATAAAAATGAACAGAGGGAGCTCTGGTGGCAAACAAGCAAAAGGGTCCCCTCATTGTCCCTTAACTGCTGGGCTGGTACAACTTGGGTAAAGCCCCCAGATCATAGATCCCGGGCCACCAAGGCCAGGCGTTCCCAAGCACCTTAATGGGGCTGCTTCTGAGCTCAGGGAGGCAGACTACATCCAGGGAGGGCTCTGCCCAGCTCCTCCTGAGCTTCTGCCCTTTCCTTCCAGATCACACGGCAGCAGTACCAGAATGCGCTCACCGCCTGCCGCATGGACAGCTCACCTCAGTCCCCCGACGTGGAGGCCTTCACTGACGGAGACTCCACCAAGGCCCCCATGACCCGGGGCACACCCCAGACCCCCAAGGATGACCCTGCCGTCACCCTCCTGAGCAACAGGAACAGCCTGCCGTGTAAGTCAGCTGGGAGGATGATGGGCCGGGCTACCGTGGGGTAGGGACGGCCCTACCTTCCTCCTCAGTCCTGCCCAGAGCTGCCATCTTGTCCTCATGGGGCCCCAGGTCTTCTACAAAGCAGGGAGGTGACGCACTCACTGTCCTCCCCAGGCAGCCGTTCAGATGGGCTGAGAAGCCCCAGTGAGGTCATGTACCTGAGGATGGAGGAGATGGCCTTCACCCAGGAGGAGATGACAGACTTCGAGGGGCAGAGCACGCAGCAACTCTCACTGTCTCCTGCAGCTGTTCCCATGAGAGCAGGTCAGGGAGGGAAACTGGGCCCTGCAGGAACAGATGGGGGTGGTGTCAAGGCCACCAGGTGCTGGGATGGCCCAGGGTGAGCCATGTGAGGGAAGTCTGGGACCCCTGTCCCCATGTAAAACTTCCCACCTCCTTATTCCACCAGGGCAGGGAAACTAAGGCTTACTATGCACCTACCATGCGTCAGACCCATCTTAATCCATTCTCCTAGGAAAACAGTGTGTAGGACACTGTTAGCTAGGTTTCCACCTGGATTCGGATCCTGGCTTCTGCACTTAGGAGCTCTGCAACTTCAGGCAAGTTACTTTAACCTAACACTAGGTTTCCTTATCTTAATAGATATGTTTCCTTATATTAGTAGATATAAATCACAGTGGCTAGCTCATGAAGTAGCTTTGAGCATAAATGAGACAATGTTTACAGGAGGGCACATCATAGTACTTGGTACCATGCTCCCTAAATGTTAGGTATCGATAGTTATTATTAGGCCTAATTTACACATTAGGAAACTGAGGTCAGCCATCACTCTTACTGACAAGGTTCGTCCCTTCCTTTGGGCCCCAGAGACTAGCTAGTAAGATGGTTTTGAACTTTCACTTGCTGAGGAACCTCAACCAAAACACCCTACCTGGGTCCCTGGGTGTGTAGGTGGGAAAGGCTTGTGTTCTTCCTTCTTCCCTTTCTCTCAGCATCAGATAGTGAATGTTGTCATATCAACCTGGACACAGAGACCAGCCGCTGCAGCAGCGGCTTTGAGGAAACCATGGGCCAGAAGTTGCTGAGAACCTTGAGTGAGTAGCTCTTCACCCAGATGAAAACGGCCCGCCAGCTGGTTAGTACAAAAAACATGTTAGGATCTTATTCCTGGAGGAGGAACCATTGACTCCTGTTGGGAACCCTAATGAGGTACAATTGTGGAAACCCATAATAGGGCTCAGGCAGTGCTGCACCTTTGATACTTTGGGGAGCTGTCCCACTCAGTTGGTGGTCGTCTAGGACAGGAGTCTGCAAACCATGGCCACAGATCAAATCCTGAGCTCCCTCCCCCGCCCATTCCTGTAAAACATAAAGACTTACTGGATCGTAGAACCCCCTTGTTATTGATGGCCACAATGGCAGAGTTCAGTAGTTGCAACAGGGACCAAATGACCTGCAAAACCTAAAACATTTACAATCTGGTCCTTTAAGGAAAGAATTTGTGTTTGGGACACTCAATAAGAAGGAAAGCAATATCCTCCGTGGAAAGAAGTCCATGGCAGAGAGAACAAGGTGAAAAATACTCCTTCCTAAAAACAGTGGAGCTGGGAACAGAGTGCCCTTCCATCCTTGAGGGCAGTTATATAATTACCCCCACCTACCCCAGTGCAAAAGGAAGGTTGCCTCTGATCTAGAGAATGTAGGTCCCCGGTGGCGGGGGTGGCTCCCAGCTACACCCACCACCCCTGGCTCAGGGACATCAAAGTCCGTGAGACCAGCCCTCTCTCAGAGGGTGTCTGGCAGTCATCTGAGCTGGGGATGGTGGGGCGTGATCCTGAGGCATTGTGTGGGCTTCACTCAGTCCCCTCCAGGAAATCTCCATTCCACTGGCACTAGCCTGGGTGTGCGGCTTTTTGGAGATGTCATCTCAGGTGGAAGGTGCATCCTAATCCTTCAAGATGTAAATATGCTGATGTCAGCACCAGGAGACAATGCAGGTTACTTCTGACAAACTATCAAGGGCTTTGTCTCCATTCCTGCTTCTATTTTGAAGAAAGCTTAGACCACCGAGAGAGTATCAATGTCCTCCCAGTCTTAAAGATTGATCCTTACAAGCTGTGTTTTTCAGGTGGTCAAAAAAGGAAGAGGTCACCAGATGGAGAGAGAACCTCTGAGGAGAACTCCAACTTAACCCCTCTCATCACATGACAGGGCAGTCAGCGTTCGCTGGGTGCGTGAGATTCCAGAGCTTTGGGGAGAACCCGCCCTCCCGTCATCTGCTTCTCCCCAAGGCCTCCCACAGGCGACAGCGCGTTCCGCTTTCCTCACCACCTCTTCACCCCGAGCTGTCAGTTTGGCAGATTTTCCCTCGTCCCTCCAGTTTGACTCAGAGCCTTGCGGTAGCCATAACGGAAGGAGGTGCCTCAGTGGAACATGCTAGAAATGGTTTTATCCACAGCACAGTCTGGGACTGGAGAAGAAATGACCCCAGGCTGACAGTGCCACTCGAGGATCCCTGATGCCCTTTTTTGTTCTTTGGTGTCCCCTGGCACCATATTTCATACTTAGCTTAGGTCAAAAGGTGCCACTGGCAGACGGGCACAAAGGAGGCTGGAGCAGCAGATAGGAAGATTAGTTCAGGAGATGCACCAAGAATTCCTCCAGAACATTAGAGCAGCGGGACAGTCACGTTGGCATGTGAAGTTACAGGACAGAAAACTGTCAGTGACCAGTTTCCTGTTAGATAAGTATTCCAGCAGCCTGGGAGGTGTGTCTCAGCTGGAATGGAAAGAATGTGAGATGGAACCTCAAGTCACTGTTATTTCCCAGGGACACATCTGTTTTGGCTCCTGATCAGTACTCATCAATCCAACAATAAATCTGCTCTGGAAGAGGAGGAGCAGGGAGCAGAGAACCCCATTTGGGAGCCAGAGATGGAACTTCAGGTTTTAAGTTCAAAAAATATATATATGTGGAAAGTTTATAGCCATGACAAACCAAAGAGTGCCCAGGTCGGCCAAGAAGGATGCAAGCTCTCATGGGACTTCAGTGTATATTACACTGGAACACTGAAGAATCACTCTTCTTTTTTCATCCATTCCCCCCACCCCCACCCATTACTCCCCCCCCCCAAATCCCCTTAGGTTTCCTTATTCTTAGAAAGTACTGATCTTAGATCTCTGGTTTTGCACCTGATGTTGGGGCAGGTGCAATTCCAAGCATCACCACCAGATGGCAGGATGACTGCACAGACCTACTTGAAGAACAAACTCGTTCTGATCCGGAACCACACAGCCAGCCTTAGGGAAAATGTGGAAGTAAGTGAAGGTTGTCTTTGGGACACCTGCCCCCCTTTCTGATGTATATCCCACCCCTAGATCAGGGATCCAGTGATCCAGTGCTACCTGCTGATCTCCAAACCCTTCCCTAACTTTTCTCTGGGGTATACTATTCGGGCTTCCCTTCCCTTCCTCCAAAACCATTACTCTCACCTCCCCCCACCCATTCAATCAATATGGGGAGCAGGGAGGCTGATAATTCCTCTGGGTTATTTGCATCTCAAAAGAAAATACCCAGAGGAACCTTTAACTCAGGGGGTCCTTAACTTGGGGTCCATTGCTCCAGGGGGTCCATTGTTGGACTTCAGAGGGTCGGTGAAACCCCTGACTCTGTCAGAATTTAGTGTCTGTGTTCTTATGTGTGTTTTCCAGAGGGCTAAAGCTTTCATACGATTTTCAAAGGTCTCAGACCCACAAAGTGTTAAAACCCACTATTTTAACTAGTGGAACTTTCAGCCCAGAGTTTCTGCAGTGCAGAGTGAAGTGAATACTGGTTAGTTTGAGACAGATTCTTCTCAAGTGTCCATCAAATCGATAGGGAAAGCTGGCACCCACCACGTGGAAGTCGTCAGAAACCCCTGACACACCCTGTGGTGCTGTACAGCCTACACCCGACATAACTTGGTCCCCCTCCCCCACCAAACCAGAGCAGGTGTTGCCAACAGGAGGGACACAGCATGTGGAAGTAGACTTTCCAGCTGGAGATGCCTCTTTCATCAATGTATTATTGACTTCACATCCCTTGCCTGGCTCTGCCTGAGGCTCAGCAGTGCATGACTTCTTGTAGATAACTCACAGCTACCACCCACCCCCAGTACCTACTCTTGCCTGGTAGAAATAGGCAAAGTGTCAGCCCTTGGTGCTGGGTGCTCCGACCCAAACCAGTAAACAGTGAGTTTCAAACAACGACTGCCATCATGCAGTCATCTTGCCCAGCTGGCCACTGGCCCGAGGGGGCCTGCCTGTCTAGTCTTCCTTTCATTACCCCTTACACCACTGCTGTTGCATTAATCCATCCCTTTGCAAAATCCCTAAGGAGCCCTGTCACCACTCCCCTCCCTATTCCCCACCCCAACCCAAGATTTTCTTCAGATTTAAAAAAAAAAAAAAGAGGATTTTAAAATAAAGCATTTGTGAAGGCTCAATAAACTGTAAATAATTTTTAAATAAAATAAAAATGCTTTTACTGGAATGTGGCTGTTTCCCTTGCCCCGGCATCTCAGTGTTCTGACATGGTTTCATTTGAGGTGCAGGGTGGGTGGTGCACACATAATTATCTTACCTGAGGCCCACCTGCCTAAAGAGGCACCCCTCTTGAGACCAGGTGTGAGGTTGCAGGTAAGGTTACAGAAAAGCCCTCGCGCTCTGCTTTGGGATATCAGATGGGTAAGATGTTGCAAGAACGAATGCCAGAAATGGAAAGTAAAAGCCAAATGAGAAGCCAGAGTGTGACTTCTGGACAAGGAAGAAGCACAAGGATGATAATGAGAAGGGCTAGCGTTTGCCAGAGCCCCGTGATGTGCAAGGCACTGGGCTGGGTGCCTTCTAAGTTCAAGGTCTTGGAGGCCAAAACCCAGTCTAGCACTTGAGACAATGTGCTGGTCACACTGGCTCACTTCTGTAGGCCCTTTGGAGAGGAGCAAAAGTGGCCTAATTTCAGCACTTTCCAACCAAAGGCTGGGAAAAGGAACGAGGGAGTGGGCAGGGCTTATTGATTAGTTTTAAACCAAGGCAGGAGCGAGGGGACAGCCAGACAGGTGGGCAGAGGTGTTGGGGCTTTTAAGGTCTTTGCAGAGGGTTGGAATCTGACACCTACTACCAAAGTCTTCAACCACCACACAGGACAATTAGCGAGTGACCTGCACCAGTACGACCCATGATTCTTCCCAGGAGCCTCCATAGGCTGTTAAGTTCATTAACAGTAAATAAATGATACAACTATTTTGCTGAGGGTTTTATGTGCCAGGTCTTGTGCTAAGCAGGTGTGCACTGTGAACCTCAGAGGTAGGACTGGTCCACGCTTGCGAGGAAGCACTCACACCCCTAGGCTCCGCAACTTCCTGGCCATGGAAACTTGAGCAATTCACCTAACTGTTCCCAGCCTATTTCATAGACTGTAAAAGAGGGCAGGCTGTGAAACTTCCTTTCCAGGGTGATTTTGAGAAAGAAATGAGCGTTGCTGCATGTGAGAGGCGCCGAGAAGCCCTGCAGTAAGAAACCTGTGTAACTCACTTAGCCTGGCTTTTCCCAGACTTGCTCAGAGCCCCCGCTCGTGGGGAAAAAGAACACGCTGTTGGGAATATATGTAAGAAGAGAATGAAGAAAGGCAGATTCCTATTGAGACTGGGGCTTTTATTTATTTTTGGCTTAGTTGGCTCTTAGTTGTGGCACATGGGCTTCTCTCTAGTTGTAGCAGGCAGGCTTAGTTGCCCCATGGTATGTGGGATCTTAGTTCCCCAACGAGGGATCAAACCCCCATCCCCTGCATTGGAAGGCAGATTCTTAACCACTGGACCACCAGGGAACTCCTGATATTGGGGCTTTTTTAAATACTAAAAACATTTGAGAACTTTGGTAGGTATACTTTGACTTAAAGAAGTGTTTTCAACCGGTTTTTCTTTAGCAATGCCCCTAAAGGCAAAAATTAAGTTCAAATTCTCCCCAACAAGAGAAATTAAATACCCAGAAATAAGATTTTGTCAAGTAAGATTGTGCTTTGCAGGACTACAAAACCACTTTAATATCTCGGACTTTCTTTGTCCCCATGAACCAATTTTTCGCCCCTATCTAAGGGGTACTATCACCCTTGTTGAGAATTCATGGTTTAAAGCTGTGTTTCAGAAGAATGATAGAAGACTGACAAAATGTAGAATCATTCGACTCCAGTTTTGTTATTCTTCCCTTATGAAGGGCAAGCATCTTTAAATAGGAAGAACAAATATTGACAGAAAGAAAAATAGAATGAAAGTAATGAAGAGTTGAGTGCAAGGTCATCTCATCACTTGAAATCTGTTCCCATCCACTAGACCCAATCATGCACCTGCACATGTTTTCTGAAGGACTGCTAGGGAGCCAGCTGGGTGGTGAAGGATCTGGAAACCATAATCTGTGCTCAAACACTGCAGAATCTTGGAGGGAGGATTTTCACAGGGAGAAGCAAAAACAAGGGATAACAACCGCTATTCTCAAATATTTGAAAAGTCATCAATTAGAAGTGCCAGTACAATTAGTGTCTGTGGTTTAAAGGAAGAGAAGAGGGGGACTGGGTGAGTAGGACAGTTGGAGATCAAATTCTGGATCAAGGTAAAAGATCTTTGTAATGAAATTACTCCATCAGTAGAATGGGATGTTTCACCAAGCATTGAAAGAACCCAACCCACAGAGGGCAGACAGCAGAAGCAAGAAGAACTACAATTCTGCAGCCTGTGAAAGGAAAACCACATTCACAGAAAGACAGACAAAATGAAAAGGCAGAGGACTTTGTACCAGATGGAGGAACAATATAAAACCCCAGAAAAACAATTAAATGAAGTGGAGATAGGCAACCTCCCAGGAAAAGAATTCAAAATAATGATAGTGAAGATGATCCAGGACCTCGGAAAAACAATGGAGGCAAAGATTGAGAAGATGCAAGAAATGTTTAACAAAGACTTAGAAGAATTAAAGAACAAACACCTAGAAGAATTAAAGAACAAACAAACAGAGATGAACAATACAATAACTGAAATGAAAAATACATTAGAAGGAATCAATAGCAGAATAACTGAGGCAGAAGAATGGGTAAGTGACCTGGAAGACAGAATGGTGGATTCACTGCTGCAGAACAGAATAAAGAAAAAAGAATGAAAAGAAATGAAGACAGCCTAAGAGACCTTTAGGACAACATTAAACACAACAACATTCGCATTATAGGGGTCCCAGAAGGAGAAGAGAGAGAGAAAGGACCCGAGAAAATATTTGAAGAGATTATAGTCAAAAACTTCTCTAACATGGGAAAGGAAATAACCACGCAAGTCCAGGAAGCACAGACAGTCCCAGGCAGGATAAAACCAAGTAGAAACATGCTGAGACACATAGTAATCAAATTGACAAAAATTAAAGACAAAGAAAAATTATTGAAAGCAACATGAAAAAAATGACAAATAACAGACAAGGGAACTCCCATAAGGTTAACAGCTGATTTCTCAGCAGAAACTCTACAAGCCAGAAGGGAGTGGC